ACTGTAGGCAAGACACAATTTCCTTGTTACTCCTCACCAGGGCGTCGCCACACATGCTTGACACCATCTGAGCCAAACAAGTTTATCTTAGTCTCATCAGACCACAGGACATGGTTCCAGTAATTCATGCTCTTTGACAGGTTGTCTTCAGCAAACTGTTTGCAGGCTTTCTTGTAAGTCAGCTTTAGAAGAGACTTCTTTCTGGGACGACGGCCATGCAAACGGACTTGTTGCAGTGTGCGGCGTATGGTTTGAGCACTGACAAGCTGACCTCCCGCTTCTGCAACCTCTAAAGCAATGCTGGCAGCACACATGCGTCTGTTTTTTGAAGCCAGCTTCTGTACCTGACGCACAGCATGAGGACTCAACTTCTTTGATTGACCCTTGTGAGGCCTGTTCCGAGTGGAGCTCGTCTTAGGGATGAATAGGACATGTGGCTTTGCATGGTTAAATGACATACAGCTGTTATCACTTAGTGTGTACTCACTTTTGTTGCCAGCTATTTGGACAATAATGGTTGTATGTTGAGTTATTTTCAGAGGACAGTAAATCTGTACTGCTATACAAGCAGCACATTGACTATAAAATATATCCAAGTTTAATTTCTATAGTATGTCCCTTGAGAAGATATACTAAAATGGTTGCTGAAAAACTTAGGACCATGTGATATTTCAGTTTTTCTTTTTTAATAAATCTGCAAAAATGTCAACAATTCTGTGTTTTTCTGTCAATATGGGGTGCTGTGTGTACATTAATGAGGAAAAAAAATTAACTTAAATGATTTTAGCAAATGGCTGCAATATAACAAAGAGTGAAAAATTTAAGGGGGTCTGAATACTTTCCGTACCCACTGTGTGTATATATATATATATACACACACACACACACATTTATTTATTTTACCATATAGACATCAAATTCATCCAAGGCACGGAACGGCGCTTCAGTTATGGCCCACAGGGACAGGACGAAACACACGGTAGAAAACGAACGCTCTCCTCCAGATAGTGAACGCATGTCACTCAGAACGGCCTTACCACCCTCTCCTGGCTGAACCTGAGGAAGAGACAGATGACCATCATTATGGGAAACTACTGTACATTTAAAAGGTCACACTTACTGCATGTAAAGTAAAATTTGACCGCAAAGACTTTTTTGAGAACATACAAGACTGCATGCGTCTATTCATATTTTAACTGAATCATCCAGTGTTAATTCATCAAGGAAATAACTACATCACTAGCCAGGCTTATGGAAATGCCATTTATCGATAAAATTTCTCAAGAGTTGACACTATTTTTCTGTACGTAGAGAGTGTGTTAATTTGTGCAATGATAACCTACCAGCAATGTAAATGTGATTTTTTAATATATTAGAATGAGTACATTACAAAATAAATTTATTAGAGTACATTATTATTTATGGGCTTAATAACAAGATGCAAACAATCAGAATATTGTACCTGGTGGGGAGTGCCCAATGTAAACATGAAACATATGCCATTACCTATATTGTAATGTGGTACAGTTATGGAGGCCCTTCATAATGCAGAGGTCAACTGCCTGCTCTGCCAATAGTTAGAAATGGCATTATAGTATGCAGTGTTTAATAAACAGCTGTTTTACTAAACTCTTCTGAGGTGAAATTCAATGCAGTCCCGTATCGTGATATGTATCGTATCGTGGCCTCTGTATCGTGACTTTGCTGGTGATACACAGCCCTAGTTACTAGCATATATAATTTGTGCAATACGTGAAATTATGTATGGAAACAGCTCGAGGGCAATACAACAAAACTTATGCGACTAAGATTTTTTCATTTCGCACATCAGATGGAAACAGGCTGGAGACAGCAAATTTCGCTAGGGCTGGTTCGATATCACTTTTTCAGAACTGATCCCGATCCAATACCAGAAATTCTGAGTATCGGCCAATACCAATACCGATCCGATACCAGCGCAGTTTTTTTTTTAAATCAGTGTAGAATTTCTACACCTCAATGTGTTGACCTGATCATCACTCTTGTGTGTGTTAAACACACTCTACCACATATAGACAACTTCATTGTAAAGAAAAATAGCAAATTAATAAATACATAATCATAATCTATGATACTAGTGTACTACTAATTCATAGTGCTCTCTACTCCAGTGTTGTGATCTAACAGACACCCGGTAGAAAGTAACAGGCTTTAGAAACAGCACTAAACTCCAGCAAGATAAAGTCCTTTTTATGCAAAACTACTGATCTTTATCTACAGATCAAGTATAATAACAGGAACATTGAATCATCTTGGAGAGTGTTTCGTCATCTTGACTGTCATAACCGACTGCGACACACAGTTTGAATGCTGAATGGAGGATGACTGACAGCCGCAGCGGAGAGACGAGTTTACGGGAACTTGAATTTAACGACTTAAATATTCATCTGAACCTCACATTAAACTATGGAATGGCTTCAGAACACTTGAAATATAGTGCACGGAAACTTTATGGTGCTTTATAATGTGTTTGTGCCTTTCTTGGGACTTAACAATAATACAGAATAGTATACGCACAATATCGGATTTGGATCGGTCTCGTTTGACCGATACCCGATCCGGCAGAAAATGAGAGTATCGGAGCGATACCGATACTAAATATTGGATCGGCACACCCCTAAATTTTGCCAAGGTTTTTAAAAAAAACACATTCTCTTTGTCGATAACAAATCAGCACAAAAACTGATTGGAAACTTGGCTACTGATGTCATCATCATGCAAAGTCTTACTGATATGGAGAGAGTCTCATTCTTGTGGTCAAAGGTCATCTTCCCTATGTATCCTCTTTGAGACAGCATGGAGTCAAAGTAGTACATACAGCGTACAGAAAGATACCTGGAAACACACAGAAACACAACCTACATCACCATCAATACCCTAAACTCTGCATTCAACATGGACAAGCCCTTTGATATGTCCCACTGCAACTTGCTGTTTTATCAAGACACTACAGGCAAAATAGCAAAACAGTTGTTGTTTTTTTTCATGCACTGGTCAATTTTGAGATTATAGGCTTTTCATAACATCTTCTTTCAGACTAGTGGAAAAAAAAACATACAAAAGAGACTTTTAAGTCTTTATTTTATTGAACTTTATCTATGTGCATCTGAATTTTTTTTCTGGCTGATGTGCAGTACAGTATTTTATGATTTATGGAGTGATAAAAAGCGATCCAAAATCCCTGCAGTAAAAATCTTTAACTCTAATATGTCAACAAAATTGACCTTTGAGAGGCATTAAAATATCAAAAGCAGACAACCAAAGGCTGCTAAATTTGAGACCATTGAATGAGTGGTTTGAAGTTCAGGCATATTAAAACAATCTATTTAAAAACATTTCAAATCAATCAGCAAGAATCAGACGAGAGCCTGCAATGAAACTTACATTCTCATTTCAGCGTAGACGTTGTGTCTGGTGTTCATGATCTCAGTTAACTGGCGGATGAAAGCCTCCAGACCCTTGACCTGTCGGGCTATGTTATTGAAGTTTTCCTTTGCCTCATGGTACTGCCTAGAAGATTCAATGACAAACAACTTGACCATTGAAACATCATAACATATAAACCACACCTGCATAACAAACAATGAAGATGCGTTTACAGATAAGCAGGGAAAATAACTACATGGTACATTATCAATGAATTACTCCAATTACCATATTCATATGTTAATACCATAGAATAATTTAGTATAACTGCATATTTTAATAGTATGGTAGCATGGTATAATTTAATAGGCATATAATTTCATATGAGGAACAGTTTATTTTAAAGTGCCCCTATTATGCCATTTCCAATATTGCCTTTCATGCAGTGTGTAATGTAGCTGTATGTGAACGTAAACGATCTGCAAATTTGTAAAGCCGAAAGTGCACGATAAATCAAGTTACTGTCTCCCAAAATAAAGAATCAACTCTCTACAGCCTAAACGAGTTGTTAGTAATTTCGAATCCCACTTTCGTGATGGCTACACGTCACCGGGTAACACATTTGCAAAATTCCCGCCCATGTTCTACTCTGGCCGGCCGCAAAAAAACTTGACCCCACCCACAAACACGTCATTTTACTGACGACTGCTTCTCTAATCTCGGGGAGTTCAACGTGGGATTCACCAAAAGCTTGCTCTTGCAAGATGGCTCAGTACCCAGTTTATTTGGACCAGCTGGCTCTACTGAATCACAAGTATGATAAATAATAGATGTTTATATTTTCTATCGAGCGTTCAAAATACGGAACTGTGGCAATGGGCGTATCATTTCCAACGCGCTGTACGTGGTAGACCAATCACAACAGACTGGGCCATCTGACCAATCAGAGCAGAGTAGGCTCACGGAAAGGAGGGTTTTAGAGAGACTGAATCTTAGAACTGCTTTGGACGAATCTTTTGAGAATCGCTGGAAAATGAGGTGATATTAAATGCATATTTTGAGAAAACAAAAGCATTTTTTGACATTGCATGCATGTAATCCTATTGTAGGAGACTCACAAAACAGTATTAGGAACCTTAAAATTGGCATAATAGGGAAACTTTGAGAATTGAGGGAAGAATCGGAGCGGAAATATGTTTAAATATCCTGCAAAGTTTTAAAAATGTGTTGAAAAATTGGTGAGCAAGTGATGGAATGCTAAATTTCTCCAAATCTGTTCTGATGAAGAAACAAACTCATCTACATCTTGGAATTCCTAAGAGTGGGTACATTTCAGCAAATTTTCATTTTTGGGTGAACTATTCCTTTAAAAGGTCATAAATGCGTTTCATTTTTCTTCATGTTAAAAGTAATTTTTTAATTCTTTCTTTTAATTTTGGGGTAAGATACCATCCAGTCACATTCTTTTGACAGGTTTTGTGAGATTTGCCCAGGGACTGTGTATATGTACCTGACGATAGTGTCTCTGTGCCCTTGTTGGTCCTGCTGTGTGTTGATCTTGTGTCTGAGGCGGCTGATCTCACTGTCCAAACTCTTCGCTGTTCTCCTCACATCCAAGCGCTCGGGGCAGATTTCTGAGGCTTTTGCTATAGATGCCTGTTGGGGAAAAAAACGAAACAAAAAACGGTTCACACAAATACTAATCTTTTCATATCTAACGGATCAGTGTAAGATGTCAGTGTTTGGTCACCTGTAACTCCAAGTCCTTCACATTCAGGTTCGTCTTTAGTGTCTCAATCATGTCCACATGTGCTTTCTGCTTTTCTTCATAGTGTTTTTTATGATGTTTACTCCTTGCCAACTCCTGATCGCTGCTGCTCAATTGCTCCTACATTTAAATCACATAAAAACTCATTTGTTTACTAGGTGGGACACACTGATAATTAAGGATGTATGCTGTTGTGGACTTGTTTCATTCAGTATTAAGTGAACTTGAGGATCATGATCCTTATTTCAAAGCTTGACAGTCCGCCATTTTTAAACATTAGAATTTTTAAACAAGAGGAATTAGGACTCTGTTGGTTAAAAGTTGTCCACTGATGATGTTACACACATTCTTGAAAGAAACATCTTCTCTGACCTTAATGGGCTCAGCTTCCTCTGCGATGCTGCTAAAAGCTTCCCTCTGTTGCCGGCAGAGCTGGTCGGCCTCCTCATATTCCTTCTTGTGTGTCAGCACCTGATCTCGCACAGCTTCAAATTCCTCTCGACACACATTTATTCGGCTGCAGAGCTCCTCCAGTTCCTCTTCCTGAACACAGAGACATAATGAGACACAGAGGTCTACCAAAACATTTATCTTTTTAATGAGTGAATCTGTTTGTTACCAAAGGTTTCAAGTCTTCTGACTGAGGTTCCTCAACATTCTGTAATTCTGTCAGCTCTGCTTGAAGCTTCCGACAATGCTCCTATTAGTCAAAATAAACAAAGAATACATATTAGGACACATTCAGTTAAAACGCTATGAAGTGGTCTGTGCACGGCTGGTATTTAATGACCTGGGCCTTCTTGTGGTCTTCATAGGCTCTGCGAAGAAGTGTTTGGTTCCGCCTCTCGTCCTCAGTGACTTGCTGCATGTCCTGCTGAAAGCGATCCAAATGTGTTTGCTGGGCATGTAAAGCAGATTGTAAATGTCTGCAGAAGAAAGAAAAAAAGGTTTTGATCTTTCTTGGTTGTTGATCAGCTTAATAGAAAACTGTCCATATGAATATCAATTCCAAATTCAAGCCAACTTCAAAATTAATGAAAAACATCCAAGTAAAATATCAAAAATACAAAACAACAAGAAAAGGTCTCAGTGCAGATTGAAGGCTTGACAATGCACAATTTAATGATAATGTTGGCTTGACAAAGACTTATTTGAAAATAATTTTCATAATCTGAAGAGAAATTTAGAATTTTACCATTACCGTTACCATTCAAAAATTTCTTATGTTTACCAAGGCTGCATTTATTTTATAAAAAAACCAAACAAACAGTAAAAACAGTAATATTGTGAAATAATATGACAATTGATTACATATTATTGTAATTTATAAGAGTGCATCGATCGGGATTTTTTTGACAGGAAGCAGTATCTGCCGATACTGATCTTTTTGAAGCCTTCTTTTTAGGGGGGGGGTTACATTTTTCAAAAATGTATAATTATCTCAGCTAAATGTTTGATCATGCAGTGCATTTTTGTTTTTATAATGGGGAAATTGTAGCTTACACACAGCACAAGCCTGATTTTGTGAGCTTTTGTGAGGCGGCCTCATGCCAGTTTCACACATAGGGTTCCTCCATTTGCAGTGCGTATGCAGTCCATGTGCGGTACAGAAGCATTACGACTCATATTGTGCTTTCTCACAGCAGTCCGCTACTGATCCGTGGCTGTTTACCACAAACACAACATTTATCCATTTTGATTTCAAATCCAAACGTTGTTACTGAAAATGCTTTTTGAGTATTGTGATTCTCTACAGTAATACAATCTTTCATAGATGTGTTTAAACGCAATAAATATAAGCAAGAGTATGGGTTAACCTGGTGTTATGTGTGCGTGCTTTGAGTGTGCATGAGCTCTAGGAGAGTGCGCGAGTGCTGAATGGTTTAAACACTGGCAAGAAGTAAAAACGAAATGAAAATTATAAACTTTCAGACCTGCCAACCTTTGAAAAATGTTTTGAGTACCATCAGTGTACACTGTTTTATACATTAAACATGGATTATCACATGTCTACCTTCAATTTATTTTGAGAGAAGTATTATTTTATAGATTGGCCATTATTTAGTGCTATGAACACATGTAATGTCCGTTTCATTCATACTGGATACTTGAGGGCGACCCTGCACATAAAGTCCACATATGCATCACCGAAGAAATAGAGCTCACGACTCCAGGAAATACCATTCACGTGTTTCCTCATCTCAGCACACGACTCACGGACACACAAACAGAGCCAGTTTGGAGAGAAATAAAAAAAACACGGAAACCACTCTGTTTGGTGGAACTCCTCATCTTTTTCTGTTGCTTGTTTTCTGCGCGTGGACAGGTCACGGGGTTTTAGCGTAGTTTAAAGTGACAAATCGTACCAGCGTACTTTAAGGTCAAAATGCGTACCCGCTACTCAAAATGCATCTGAACTTTAGTGACAATTCAACACTGCCTCAATTGTGCAAGTTTTCTGTGTCAACTGTGTAGTGTGCAGCTCGTTTATAGTGCAGACACGATGTGCTGATTTGAAGCCTTTTGAGAGGAAAAGAGAGAGTGTGCGCGGTGATTCACACATGCTGTTTGTGAAATTACGTCTCACATAAAGTTTTCAAATTACTTTGAAAGTTATTTAATGAAGAAATATGAATTGTACCTCACCTTCAGCATTCCAGGATTCTTTGATGAATACAAAGTTCAAAAGAACAGAATTTATTTGAAATTGCAACGTTGTAGCATTATAAATGACTATCACTTTTGATCTATTTAATTTGTTCTTGCTGAATAAAAATACTAATTTCTTAAAAAAAAAAAAAAAGGATGGTGTTGCTGCTGCTAAGGTGTTCTAAATTGTTGCTAGATGGTTGCTAGGTTGATCTGGGTGGTTGATACAAGTTAACTAGAGAGACAGATACTAATGTTACTGATAAGATGCATAACACCCAGAAATACCATCTTTTTATAAGTGTGCATTGCAGTTCTGTCATCTGCTGCTTTAAATGCTCGAGCTCTTTAAAGTCGGCTGGATTTTGATCAGCTGTCAACGTTTTTATCGTTCATTAGCTGGAAATAATCATTCTGAAAGTGATTCCAATCATATTGTTCTTCTGTGTCATCTTAAGTAGTCTATTGTTTTTCCATCTCATCTGTTTCTTTATGACTGCAAAGCAATGCCCAACGCTTTAGGTCAAAATATGTTGCATGTAGAAAGTTAAGGGTTTTGGGGGGGAAAAAAAACTAAAGACCTAAACTGTGGTAACAAATTGATTTATTTTTTTGCCATGCACTGAAATGAATCCCATCTCAAAAATGGATTTAATATTTTCAAACCTGATTTCCTCTTCGACATCTTTGCTGAGGTAGCGTACTCTGTCCTGTTCGGAGGAATAGTAACGGTTATAGTAGACCTGGTCCCCCTCACGTGTAAAGGCCTCCATGCAGTTGCGTGGTCGGTTTACACTCTGCATGACTTTTCTCGCATCTTTAGCGTTCTGTGGGAAAATCAAAGCAGACATGAACAGAGCTCTTCACTTCACAGGATGTGGATACACATTACGATCAAACAGGAAAATGCTTGTGGGCCTCCTCATGGTCTTACCTTGATGAGCAGAATGGTTTCAATTCCTCTCATGTCGATCAGGCAGTTGGCCACAACTGAATTCTCAATGTCAAGTGCCTGGAGCACAGTTGGATATTCAGGGTGATCGACAGCCCTGAAAACCAATAAAAGAAAATATTTTATAAATTTTTTCAATCATACAAAGTTCTCTTTTGTGCTTTGACGGATAAACTTATAATGGCTACAGACCAACAATATGAAGTACTGGCTACAAACCAACAAGCTGAAACTTTTTCATGTCTTCCTTCACTGGGTCAGTTGGCCAATCAGAGCACACTGCGCTTTCTGAAGGAGGGGCTTTGTAGAAATCAACACGTTTTTGAAAGACTGAGCATAGAGTATCTGCAATAATGAACAGTATGTGAAAAAATTATGCTTTTTTTTTCATTAATGCATGCTAACATATTCTATTACACCCAATACACAAAATAATGAGCTTTGAAAATAGTATCATATGACATATTTAAAGGGATAGTGCAAGACCCAGCTCTGGATCCCGCAATCGGATACAGAACCCTAGAAACAAAATAACCCTTAAGCATCAAAATTCCATACGATGCCGTTTCTACTAAAGTCTAAACTATATTTCAGTTTTAACGCAAACACTTAGGGTGTGCAAAGCTGAAGACATAGCCTTTCAATAATACAGATTATTTCACTGCGTGCATGAAGACATGCACACCAGAAAGTTTCGTCCTTGCCCAGTGACTGCCCTATATTTCAGGGATGCACCGAAATTTCGGCCGCCGAAAATTATCGGCCGAATATGGCATTTTCAGTTTTCGGCCGAAAGAGAAAAACAGCCGAAAAAATATGGCGCGCTGCACTGCCCCAAGTGCATCCAGAAGTTTTTATTTCGTTGCATCCCTACTATTTTTCTCTAAAAGTTATGACTGATAGAATTGTCTGTGTACTCATTTTAACTAGAGTTGCAGGTATCTTTTAACTTTCTAAGGTTCAGGATAGGGCTGGGCAGTATATTGAGTTTGTATGATATATCATCATTTATCGTGATAAAAAAAAAAAAACACTGGTTGGATTTTTATCATTATAGGGTGGTTGTGTACACACACTGCCAATACATATTTCAGTTCAAACAACTTGTAAAAGTGCATGTAGCATCCTATGATCACTTTAAATGATTGTTCAAAAGCAGAATTCCTGGTGAAAAACTACATTACCCATGATGCTGCAGAGAAATCTCCACCTATCAGAGAATTGTGACAAGTAAATCACGGCAAAAGAACACTTTAGTGCCGCCAACTCCCATGAAGCACTGTGAATGACGAGATCTCACTCTGATGAGAGTCAGTCTCCCTAGGCCAGGGGTGTCAATCTCAAAGTTTATTTCAACCCTGCTCCAACACACATACCATTTAGTTTTCAAATATGCCTGAAGGACTTGATTAGATGGATCAGGTGTGTTTAATTATGGTTGGATCTAAACTCTGCAGGGCTGTGGTCCCTGCCCTAGGCTCTCAAACTACAATATTTGTAAAAATAACATTCATATTTTACAATAAATGTATTATATATTGTTTCTATATGTATAATCAGCATCTTTAAATCAAGTTTCATATATCTCTACCATTTTTAATTCAATTATGGCATTCGCAATGGTTCATGGGATTGTTGTTATTTCCCTCATTAAAGCCATTATGTCTTGTATCTTTGACTTTTCAAACACAATTTTGCTTGAATTTTGAAGTTTGTAATGTTGTAATATTACCCTCATAGCTGGTTTGGTTCAAGGTTTATAACTCTTTAATGAGGACCTTTTTTAAATTTCTTTTTTAAGAGATGTATTTTTTTAACCCTGACTTTTACAAACAGTTGCACTAACCTCATTCTACCCAGTTTTTCTTTAGCAGTGGCGCAGGCCTGTGTAAACTGATTGATCTGCTGAGCCAGAGTGGAGTCCTGGAAACTTAGATCTTCCAGCCCAGCCTGAATGTGATTCATCTTCTCCTCACGAGCATGAGTGTCAGCTGAGTTCGCCTGACTTATGCTGGACAGAGTGAGAAGGGGTTGAGTCATAATGAAAGAGCTGGAAATGGTACAAGAATAATGTTGCATAACATTGTTTCCTTTTCGGCACGCTTTTGAAGTACCTGTGTTTGAGTTCTTGGATCCGCTTGTTAAGCTGATCTTTATCCTTTTCAAGGTCTCTCAAGTTAGTTTTTTTACGATGGAGACCAGCCTAAGCCAAGAAAAATGAAAATTAGCACTGAGATGTGAGTAGGGTTGGGAATCGAAAATCGATTCCAATTCCAGAATCAGATACTTAAAGTCAGGAATCGGATACTTTTTTTCCAACCTAAATAAACCTGCTGCTGTCTGTCATTAATGTTTATTTATACATTGAAGACCGACCAGTGTTATTTTAAAGTTAAATAGATTATTCAGTTTCTCTGGTATTTCTGTGCATGAACATGCACATATTACTTTTATACCTACCTGAAAAACTTTAAGCACAGTTCATTTTAGTTGTATCTTGTTATTGTATTTGTTTGTGCCGTTGCTTGTCATTGATCTATTCTTATTTTATTACTGACTGTTTAATGTTTTTTTAGTTCAAATAAATTCAATTCAGAGTTTGGAATCAAATTTCTTTTTAAATATCTTTCTCACAATATAAATATGAATCAACAACATTATAAATTGTAAAACACAATTACATGAGGTGACGAAACATTTAGGTTGGATGATTGCAGTTTAAAAATGTCTAAAAAATACCCTAACTCCCCCCCTCAAATAAAAAGAAAATCCCCCCCATAAGAGCCACCTAAAGGGGGAACCCCCCTATTTTCCAAAACGAAATTCAGGCCCTGTGGCAATCTGCCAGGACCTTCCTTGCTATTCTAAGCGCTCCAGTGTTTCGCTACACTTGCGATCAGCAAGTAACAGCTAAGTATAATATTTGGATTAAGCTAACATGTTGCAAGAGAGGTGACACCACCAACATGACAAAGCACTTTAATTAAACAGATCGTTCAAGATCACGACCACGATTCAAACACCAACGTGATCTTGAATTGTGAATTGTTTTGCAAAAAGAGACAGAATAAATATATTTGATATCTAAATGTTTGAATACATTTTTTTAACCACATTGGAATCGAAACTGGGAATCGATGAGCAGAATCGGAATCGGAATTGATAAAATCCAGACGATACCCAACCCTAAATGTGAGCACAAAGTTTCCTTTTTCCCTCCTTATTGTGTTGTGCATGCATGTGATTGTGCACCTCGGCGGCTTTGAGGTCTCGGTTGCGCGTCTGTACTCGGCTCTTCAGTTCAGCACACTGTGGCTGCAGCTGCTGCATCCGATCCGTCACACCCTCCAGCTGATCCTGCAACTTTCTGAATATCCCGTTGGCCTCCTGAATCTTCCCCTATACAAAGAAAACCCAAAATAGACACCCTGCACATTACTGTGAATGAGACATGATTAGATTTTCATTAAAGGGTTAGTTCACCCAAAAATGAAAACTCTCTCAGAATTCATCAAAAATATCTTAATTTGTGTTCCGAAGATGAACGGAGGGCTTACGGGTTTAGAACGACATGCGGGTGAGTAATTAATGACAGAATTTTCATTTTTGGGTTAACTATCCCTTTAAGCATTTTCTTCACAATTAAATAACTAGGGCTGCTGGCTGTGCACAACCCATCAGAGCTATGTAATATTGGCAGAAAGCTTTGAGGGTTTAACCTAGGGTTGCTGAAAGATTGCAGTATGAAAGCAACTATAATGCCAATGCCATTACAGTTGTGATCTACTGTGCCCAAGAGCAAATTTTGTTTCTAATGTCCTTGCAAATGGTCTACTGTTACTAACGGTCTAATCCAGTGGTTCCCAACCCTGGTCCTGGAGGCACCCCAACACTGCACTTTTTGCATGTCTCCTTAATCAAACAGACCTGATTCAGGTCATCAGCTCATTAGTAGAGACTCCAAGACCTGAAATTGGTGTCAGAGAAAGGAGACATGCAAAATGTGCAGTGTTGGGGTGCCTCCAGGACCAGGGTTGGGAACCACTGGTCTAATCTATGACATTATGGAAGAAAATAAATCCTAATAATCTTCACTCGTTTTTATTCTGTTGGAGTTTCTCATTGTTATCAAAACACAATTAGCAGGTATTCCTGGTCTCCTAAACCTGATTGTGCTTTAAGTGTTAATGTGTAGGTGGGAAAACCCTAAAACAAAACAAAATAAACCTTAAAAAAAAACTAAAAAACAAACACACTCGTGAGCACTTCTGAGGAAAAAGCTGATGGCTAGTGACATCAAATCTTTGAACATTATTCAACTTTTGTTTAATGCACTTTGTATTGGTTAATTTAAAATCATTACCACAAATTCTTTAGGCATTTTCACTACAACTGTTTGTCTGTTTTGCCATTATGATTCACCCCCATTAACACAATGAGATTCGATGCAATGGAAAAATATGATCACTTCTAATGCCCCGAGGCCTGTTTCATAAAACAAGTTTACCAATTAAGCCAGGCTTATTTTCAATAATTCATTGTCAAATGATTTGGTTCCATAAAGCAAATTTAACATAGGCCTAGATCAAGCTCTTTAAACAGATAGCAGAACATTAGAAAATTACAATCTAAAAATCACTCTTTAAAGCATTAAAATAGCTAAATTAAAAGTTAAAATCACTGAATTAGAAATGAAAATAAATAATAAAGAAAATGACTTTATTTTAACATATAAGAAACACACATTAACTCATTTGAGCTTAGTAATTAGTACTAGCTTATATTTGATTTACCCATTACAATAGTGCCTTGACAGTTACTCTATCATAAAAATACATTTATATGTAGGTTTAAAATTCTACAGAATATATTTTAACAAAACGTATATTTTACTCAGAATTATTGCGCTACTATTCGAATGCGCTCCGTCTGTTTAGCACGTATGCGTGCAGCAGCGCTCGTTCACCCACTTCACTTGCCTTCTGTCACGAGAGCACAGACACGAACATTATTTTGGAACGTGTCAAAGTAACATTTTCAGGAGCTATGAAATTGTGAAGTTGAAAAGTTCAGTTATTATATGGGTTTAAACTAAATATTAACAATTTCAACTGAATTAGTTACATGAATCAATAATAATTGTAAATATAAACTGCATTGTCAAGATTGAATTGCTCTAAAATTAGTACAAAACATAAGGGTTAGATTACCACTTTCTAACATTTACAGATGAAAAATATACCTGTGACGTCAGTTATGCACCGAGGAAAACACAACGTCTCAAATGCATTAAACAGCACAAACGTATTCGCTGTTTGCCAAGGTGGATCGATTTAATCCATGATCGAAATTAAGGTCTGCTTAAGAATAAGTGTGCACAAATTAGTGAGAACGCCTGAATTTAAATAGTCAAGCTATTTAAATAGCTTAAAAAATTATAAAATAACTTGTATTATTTTAAATAATAGAAGTATAGCGCATCCACTAGTAATTATATATAATTAAATCAGTTTTTACTGATGCGAATATGTTAGAAACTAATACAAATGCCAACTTGTAGCCGCTACACAATTTTTTAAATCAACGCATCGCATCGTTAACTTTTATGCCGAAGCACCTATGCAAATCTGTGAATCTTCCCATCCCTAGTCTATATCACGAACAAACTCCCACATCTGCTAGGAGAAACCTCAGAAAGCGCAAACCTGGCTGCCAGGTGTTGTGCAACAGGACCACCAACTACACAATAACATCAACACTCACTGTGTATTTTCTGCCTTTCCTTCTCACTGTTATTTTGTGTGTGTGTGTAAAAGTGTCTGTAATTTTGTTACCAGTGCTTTGGAAATGTACAGACTTTTTACCATGCCAATGAAGCTACTTGAATCTGAATCTATATTGTGGAATAATGTATTTCAGTTAAACTCGCCCCCCCAAACTGTGAAAATTATTATTATTATTTTTTTGACTGATTTAAACATCAGTGTCATTCTGGCCAGAAAAAGCCTATTTAAGCAGAAATCCGGACAGAATTTAATCCTGTAGTCAAATGTGTGGCTTCATGACACTAGAGGATACTAAGACCCCAAAAATAATATTCAGTCACCTCCCACTCTTCCACCTTCTGGTCATATTTGACGGTGGATTTCTCTTCAGCTGCGATTCGTTCTCTCATGGGCTTCATCTCCTGCTCCACCTCTGCCACCTGACGCACACACAGACATACATTTCAGTATTAGGTCACAATCTTCGGTTATATAAGATATTTAAAACATGTGATGAGAACCATTCAGAATGATTCTGGTACATTAACCTTAACAAAACCACTACAATTATATTAAGAAACTAATCAAATTTGATTAGAAAATAATGGAATTGTTGTATTCATTTTGATTTGAGCCATGCAGTCAGATATCACGTTGTGCTGGCAGTGATTCCTAACCAGAGACCAGGCCATCTGACTCTTCAGCTCATCCAACTTCTGCTGCATTTCATTGAGTGAAGCCAGATTTTTATAGCGCTCTTCTTTCTCGTGGTACTTTCTCTTTAGCTCTTGTAGAGTCTGTGAGAGAGGAAAGGGTGTGGCAAAAATCAGTGAGTGAAAGAGAACTATGCTGCCATCTTAAAGAGCATCTAGTTTAGCAATCCAATAATATATTGTTTCCAAAGCAGCTTCATCCAATACATAACTTCAGTTCAGTTACATAAACCAACATGTAAGTGTGATTATTTCAGCATTCACCTCCCTGTGCTTCTCCACTCCATTCTGGGTCATGCTCTTGGTCTTCATGATGTAGCTGTAATGAATTTACTTCTTACAAACATGCAGCTTTTCACATTACAAGAGATTAATTAATGAACTGGAGACATGTGGATTACTGTGATGTTTTTATCAGCTGTTTGGACTCTCATTCTGATGGCACCCATTCACTGCAGAGGATCCAGTGGTGAGCAAGTGATTTCTCCACATCCATTGCAGTGAAGAAAAACTAATCTACACCTTAGATGGCCGGAGGGTGAATAAACTCAGCAAATTTTCAATTTCGCATGGTTAGTTGGTTGGTTTTGTTTTATTGTCATTTCAGCTTTACCAGCCATTACATGACAAATAAAGACACCAATTAAACATTCAACAAAATAATATAATGAAAACAATATACTAAATATACTAAACATATCATAAGAATCCAGTTAGACAAAAAAGACAAGATTTAAAAATTGGACGTTTTTCTGGGTGCTTTTAAAAAATCATTACAATGGGTGAACAATTCCTTGAATTTGTTTATTTCAAACAGCTGTCAGATTATAAAGATTCAAACATGAGACCTCTTACAATTAATGCAAAAAACATTTCTGTGAGCCACTGCTCACACTTACATAGCTGCCATGTTCCTCAATAAGGGGTTTGTGGCCCCCTAGTGGTCCACATTGTGGAGTACCTATTTTACCGCTTAAGTCCTTTAATGATCTTCAATAATGCTTTAAATATTTGATTACTACATTTTCACACACAACTTCGTTAGTACTATGTATCAGTATATTTTAACATATGACAGTGTCCTATAAAAAAATGAATTGCAAATATGCCTCAGGCTGAATGTTTTGCTGTTGGACAAGTCAAGTGATATTCTGTTTAGGTAAAACCACAGGTGAGGGAAACGTCAAAGCTAAATTTCAGGTAAAAAAAAAATTGTTTCCCGGGGATTAATTTTACATGCACAAAAAGCAGCAAACAACAGAACATGGTCATCATATCACATCACGCACCTGCAGCGCTTCTGCCAGCGGAGAAAAACATAATAAAGCTAGGCTATATATATATAACGAATAAATAGGCCTACATGAGAAACATATTTTTACTTAAATTATAAATTAAGAAAATGTAAGAAAACCAAGTAGCCTAGTATGCAGAGTTTCAGTTCATTTTTGTGCTGCGCGAAAGGAAACAGAAAACGGCATCCTATTTTTCTTTAGGTTTATTTTACAAAAGCACAAAGATTTGTTTTTATTGAGAATGTACACAAATAAAGGCAAACCTTTCACAATTCCGATTATCTTTATGACTAAAAGTAGTCGTTTCTTCCACTGTTAGAAGGAAAAAATTAAAGTGATTGCGCCGGCACCGCATGCGCACACACAGTTAAGCTTTGCTACCTTGACAATGCAGCCTGTTCATTATCATAATAAAATACAGTCAGTCAAACATATTGGAAAAAACTATGTAGTAAAAAAAATAATGTAGTAAAATCTGTTAAGCCGTTAAGGTTAAGTGTTATCACTGTACCGCCGTGATGCAAAAAATTTAGTTTTATGTGGATATTGGAATGCGAGTGAAGTAGGCTACATAATAAATAACAATTTGCCATTCAAATACATCACGATTCGCAAATACGGAAACATTTGATTTTGTGAGGAATGAGAGACCCAACGTTGGTTTCAGTTTAGTTTTAACCTAAATGAATTTGTTTTGGCTTGTCATTTATATTGCTATAGCTTCTTATATTTTTAATTCTTTTCTAAATACTGTTAATTAAAAGGATTTGTTGTGGAGTGAGGGGAACTAACACTAGCTATTTTTACAGTGTTTGTTATAATGTTTGCAAACATTTTGCATCGGCATTAGGTCTATTTCTGAATGAAATAATAAAATGCGACTTATACACGACTTGTTTTTGTCCCCCTAAAAAACACATATTTTATATGCGTAGCGTATTTTAACCATGCAGCAAACCATTTGAAATATTTTGATAAATTACTGAAAAAATAAATAATTAAATGACTTTTTAAACCGTTTAACTGATTGTATTAATCGGTCAAAATTCTTACCATTGGTTAACCGGTTAAAATGAACATCCCTAACCAAAACATTACCGTCACTACCGAAACATGGGATGCTTTGTCAAAAATAAAGTATGCTGAATTATCAACTAAGATGTTATGATAGTGTTTGGTTCAATGTATATTCAAACTAATGAATCCTTAACTTTGAAATCAGTATGATTAACTTTATGCCTTTTACAAAGAAAGACTGCATTCAAAATACAACAAATATCAATTGAAATATTGTTAAAATTGTAATTGTTATTGATTTACCTTGGAAAACTTTTTAATAAAATAGCAAAAAATATATTTACAAGCTAGAAGTAAACAAAATCTTAATATGTCAATAAAACCCTTCGTATTAAATTATATATTAATGCGTTTCGGTAGTGACAAATTTGGGGAGAGGAAAAATATTTCAAAACTTTCCGAAAATACAATAAAAAATACATTTTTTTCAAGATGTTTCCAACTCTGACTTTGAACCAATTCTGTAGAAGGGCCCAAGCATACCTGTTTTACTTTTTAGTTTATATGTCCGGATTCCTTCGCTGGAGATACGGAGATCTATGTTGATGGACTGACCAAACACTTCTGGCTTATAAGCATCACGACCCCTGTTCCTCAGAGTGATGGACACATCTGCAGAACTGAACATTCCAGACACAAAAACAGTGTGAGAGACTACTGTATATACAACTATGACTATTTGAATAGAAAACCCGATAGGTGTGTTGTACCTCTCTCCTTCCTTAACAAATACTTTGAGTGAGGAGCCTCTGTTAGTGGTGTGAGCTTTACCGCCCAAGGCTACAATCAGAGCTGTCAGCACTGCACTTTTTCCACCTAACACACAAATACACAAGACACAACTATAAATAGAACCATAAACGTTTGGCAGCATTGACAACAAGCAATGGCTATTGTCACAAAACACTCAATATGCTGTTTTCTTCTTATCATAGGTAATGATAGGCCTATTTAAAAATATATGATTATGTGATCTGTCTTCACGTTTAGTGAAACTATAGCACTTAATGCAAACCTTTACCCCTTAACAACAGACATTAAAAATATTAAAGGAATAGTTCACTCAAAAACGAAAGTGTTCTGAAAATGTACTCACCCTCAGGCCATCCAAGATGTAGATGAGTTTGTTTCTTCATCAGACCAGATTTGGAGAAAATTAGCATTTCATCACTTGCTCACCAATGGTCCAACAGTCCAAACAGCTGATAAAAACATCACAATAATCCACAAGTAATCCACATGACTCCAGTCCATTAATTAACGCCTTGTGAAGTGAAAAACGGCATGTTTGTAATACACAAAATGCCAAAAATAGGAGTCCATAATCCATAATGCTTCCTCCACTGAAAAAGCCCTCTGATGTGAGAGAACAACAGGGGATGTTGTCCACTCACATCAAAATCCACCAACATATTTAGAACTGTTTTTGCATATAAAAGGTGCTTGATCTATGCATATTTCTCCCGATTCAGACGAATCTGATTAATGACTTTTTCACTGAAGAAAGCACTATTATAGAGGATTTTAGCCAGAAGCAAAGGTTTTAAGTTAAATATGTCTTGATGAATTTACTTCTTACAAACATGCAGCTTTTCACATTACAAGAGATTAATTAATGAACTGGAGTCATGTGGATTACTGTGATGTTTTTATCAGCTGCTTGGACTCTCATTCTGACGGCACCCATTCACTGCAGAGGATCCAGTGGTGAGCAAGTGATTTCTCCACATCCATTGCAGTGAAGAAAAACTAATCTACACCTTAGATGGCCGGAGGGTGAATAAACTCAGCAAATTTTCAATTTCGCATGGTTAGTTGGTTGGTTTTGTTTTATTGTCATTTCAGCTTTACCAGCCATTACATGACAAATAAAGACACCAATTAAACATTCAACAAAATAATATAATGAAAACAATATACTAAATATACTAAACATATCATAAGAATCCAGTTAGACAAAAAAGACAAGATTTAAAAATTGGACGTTTTTCTGGGTGCTTTTAAAAAATCATTACAATGGGTGAACAATTCCTTGAATTTGTTTATTTCAAACAGCTGTCAGATTATAAAGATTCAAACATGAGACCTCTTACAATTAATGCAAAAAACATTTCTGTGAGCCACTGCTCACACTTACATAGCTGCCATGTTCCTCAATAAGGGGTTTGTGGCCCCCTAGTGGTCCAAATTGTGGAGTACCTATTTTACCGCTTAAGTCCTTTAATGATCTTCAATAATGCTTTAAATATTTGATTACTACATTTTCACACACAACTTCGTTAGTACTAAGTATCAGTATATTTTAACATATGACAGTGTCCTATAAAAAAATGAATTGCAAATATGCCTCAGGCTGAATGTTTTGCTGTTGGACAAGTCAAGTGATATTCTGTTTAGGTAAAACCACAGGTGAGGGAAACGTCAAAGCTAAATTTCAGGTAAAAAAAAAATAAAAAATCAACAGAAAAAGACCGATTAACATGTATGATACTTAATTTTCATTCTAGTTTAATTTTAATTTTCTATTCTAATTTTAAAGTTCATTCTATGAAGGAATCATCAGACTGATTCAAACAAGTAGTCTTGCTTTCGAATCGGTTTACTAGGAGTGTAACGGTTCAGATTGCTCACGGTTTGGTACGGTTCGATTCGGTATGTGCTATGTTCGGGGGAAAATGGACTATGGTCAAATAAAAATAAAGGAAATAATAACAAATAATCAAAGTAAATGCAACAGCACAAATAAATACAATAGAGCAAAGATACAAATAAAATAAACAGTGCTTTTCAGGTGTTTCACAGTCATTTTTTTTTCATGCACAGACATTTTAAAGTAAACAAATGTAAAATAAAAGTGCATATTTCACTATATAAATTAAAGATCAATCCTTGTTGAAGTTACAAAAGCTATTCAATCAAGAGATGCGAGTAGAATTCCTTGTCTTTTGTTGTTTAACATAAAAAACACAGACAGCAGGAATAGACCGCTGTTCCTTTAAGACATAATTCACAGATCCAGTACACTGATACTGATGCACATGCGTTGTCTTTCTCGACCGTTTACGTTCACTCAAGACGTGGCCAATGATGTTCGCAAAGATACTCACAAAGACGGGCATTCTGACATATTTTTTTGAGTTAGTTTGTCAGTTCAAATGCAAGTCTCGAAAGAGAATTCAATATTTGTGCGGCATAAAATTCGGCTAAAACATTGCCATGGCTTAGGCTTTTCAAATGTACACAGCACAGAATTAATCTATTTTCACGGCTTTAAAAAAACAAACAAACCTGGAGAAGGACTTACTTCCATTGTTTCCTACGACAAAGTTGACGTTTGGACCAAACTCAAAGGGACCAAGCAATGAGTGACACATGAAGTTCTTTAGAGAGATGCTCTCTATGATGCCCACTTCACCTGTGACCTGAAAACACACACATAGATGTGTAAGGGTGCATCACAAGCAAAATTCTATGCAGAATGTGCATACTTATGATAGTGCAGAGTACAGTCACTAATACACATTCTCTTATTAGGACAATAAAGTACACATAAGGTATTTTACAGCAAAAACTAGCAGTCAAGGCATCCGTACTGTGCCGAGTAAGTCTTACACTCTGTGATGTGTTCATGCCATCTCCTGAACTGAAGTTGTCTGCTTCATCCTCTTCAGATGGCTCAGGTTGAGATAACCGGCTTCTCTTATCAGGCGTGAGCCCTGAATGACTGCTCTTCCTCTTCGACATCTCCTACACACGTCAAACACTTATCAATCACAAAACATACAGACATTTACATCCTTTATTGTGATTACACTGCCATTTCACTTAATAGAAGGTGAAACAATAAGTGGGAATTTGTACATTTTCCTTGTCTTGTTGCAAATGAAGTCTCTAGCTTTAGCTTAAAAATGATTAACACCAAATCTTATTAGATGAATGTGACCACTTAAAGTCGAGACATATCTTTTGTTCCTTATTAGATCCGAGTGTGATGAATTATCAGAGAAGTACAAATGTAGGGCGGAGACTAAATTCTATGCATCGGCTGCTGATTGGATTTTGAAATATGGCCATTGCACTCAAAAGTGGAAGCAGATGAATGTAAGTTTGTGAGGACGGGTTTAAGCAGATTAATTGATTGGAGAAATCCTGCATATGTCACCAGAGATGGGTCCAGTCATGACATTTTTTATTTGAAACATAAAGGTACAAAAAAATTAAAAGATATGCACAGATTAACTGTTCGGTCATTATAAAAAAAAATGTAAAACCTAATTGTGACTTTTCATCTCACAATTCAGACTGTTTCTTGCAATTCTGAGAAAAAAATGAAGAATTGTGAGATATAATTCATAATTCAGACTTTTTTTAAAACTTGCAATTCCAAATTCATATCTCACAATTCCGAATTTTTGTTTCCTTTTTGTTTCCACCTCGGAAGAAAAACAGGTAAATGCGACTTTTTATTTTGCAATTCTGATATGTTGCAGTTTTAAGGGAAAAAAAATATAGAATTGCAAGAAAAAATCAGAACTGTGAGTTATAAAAAGAATCAGGCTTCGATAATAACATGCATTCAGACTTTAGTTGTCATAATCAATGGTGCTAAAGCAATGGTGGACTTCATTTAAATGGTTTTTAAATTGTTGGGTTTTGTTTGTCTTGTGGTTTGAGGGTTTGATATCCTCCTGAGACCCAGTTATGGAGTTTATTACTGAAATAAATGAACTTTTCCACGCCATTCTAATTTATTGAGCTGCACCTGTATACAGTGTATAGATAACATTGTGCTTAATGGGGAAAACCAGTTTATGGAATTTTTACACACATATTGCATAAAGCAAAATGGTATATCAAATCATTTTGTTATACATTTTATAACATAGTTGAGAACCATCCTTAAAGTTAGTTATAAAAAAATCCTGAAACCTAAAAATTGATTGGCGATTTAAAAAAAAAAATCCCATTGTTTTTGTCTTTTCATGTCTATTCTCGTCATTTTATTTTTTTGAAAAACTAGTCCTGGTGTCCTCTACAGAGGACATAGCATAACATATGAATAAAATATAATTTTTCAAAAATGTTATTTTACCATTTTTTTCTTATGCGCTAAACAATGTAATGGCATGAAAAAAAATACTAAATTCACAAAGCTTTCTCAGGAGGATATATCACAAATTACTTTGATTATAAGAATGTCTGACCAATTCAGCCAAATCAGAAAATGTAGGCTGGATATACGTTTAATGAATACAGACACTGTAACGTAAGTTCTGATTCAAACATGGTAGTTTTACAGATAAAATAGTCTAAGTAGAAATATGATACGTTACTTGCATTATACAGTAAGCCTACAAAAACGGTCATGCTTTGGTATCGTGCTAGATTTGATTTGTTATTGAGCTGTCCTTGTTCGCCACAGAACATCATTCTGCTCTTTCGGTCCTCGAGCCATCTGTTGTGTATCACGCGGTATCACGAAAGATCAGATATTCACCAAGTAAACACAATCAATATAAATAGCAAGTTTATTATACTGACAAGACACTTTGAGCTCAAAATGAAACGTAACGATAAATCAAACGAACGTAAGTCAAAATATGAAAACGAAAGCAGATATTCGTAGACGGGGCTTCGGAAGCTTGAATACAACACATTTACTGAGAGACGCTGGGCAGGTAACGTTACAGCATTGCTTAGCTTTACTAAACGGCACGTTGAAATTCGCTTTCTGCTAAAATGGTGACAGACATTAAAGGTTGATCCCATTAGTTGTTCAAAACAAGTAAAACAGACAAGCGGAAGCTAAATGTGAGTTAATACGGCGTGTTTTATGTCAGTGTAAACACAAAAAGTCAAGCGTCAGAACATACCAGAAAACTCTCCTGCTGGTCCTCCTCGCGCGCTTTGACGACGCACAGAGAGCGCTGGCGTGAGGCCACTTCCGGGTTGTCACCACCAATCACATAACTCCTAGCAAAGTGATAGGTGGTTGACCGTGAGTTATGAAAAATTAATTTTATCCTAAAACATTAATTTGATCACAAACATGGCATGGAAAAGTTTTGGGGAGAGAAAAAAAATCGATCTTCTTTCCACAACTTTGTTTTAACCTTCATGTGTTCCATATAAAAGCGTGTATTTGTTTGTTTGTTTATTTGCATATTAAAATTCTCCACCAAACCACTTTTTTTTTTAAAATATATATTTTTAAGATTATCCGGATAAATTATGTTATAATGCTCATTCTAAAAAAAATCATCTTGTGAAATATTTTATAAAGATTCTTAAAAATATATTTAAAATGACCACCCAAACATGTCAATAATAACCAGAGGCGGACAAAGTACTCAACTCTATTACTTGAGTGAAAGTACAGATACTGCTGGTCAAATATTACTCCATTACATCTAAAAGTTGTAAAGACAGATTTTTACTTAAGTAAAAGTGCAGAAGTACTTACTTTTAAAAGTACTTAAGTACCAAAAGTAAATTAGCTTTTGTATGTCAATGCACTGTTTTATTGTTGTACGTAATACTTGCTATACTTCTGAAGCAATTTAGAATACATTACACCTACTGAATACACTGACTAGCTTGTAAAAAACTGTCTATTGTAATATACCTGCACATACAACTGTCAATTTATATATTTTTATTCCTTATTTACTTGTTCTATTTTTTATTATCTGTGTTTTCTGTTCTGTCACTGTCATTCTGTTACACTGTGGAAGCTTCTGTCACGAAAACTAATTCCTCGTATGTGTAAACATACCTGGCAATAAAGCTCATTCTGATTCTGATTCTGATTCTGATTTTCACTTACACAATTTAGCAAATTCAAACAATATTGTGTCTAATATATACCACAATATTAACTTCCTATTATTGAATTGTTGTAAATAAATATCACATTTGCAACTGGTCAGTGTTCAAAAAATGCTGAGAAATCACTTCATGTAGCCCTACAAAAGTGATTACTGATAAACTGTCTGAAAAAAAAAAGAAAGTCACGTTTTAGAGAAGAAAAAAATCACCCACTGACTTTCAAAGCTGCTATATGGTAACGACTTTCTACTTCGAGGACCTTGATAGAAATGTAGTGGAGTGAAAAGTACAACATTTGTCTTTCAAATGTAGTGTTAAAGTCATAAGTTCCCAGAAAAAATAATACTCAAGTAAAGTACAGATACTCAAAAAGTGTACTTAAGTACAATACTCAAGTAAATGTACTTAGTTACTGTCTGCCTCTGATAATAACTTTACATAACATTTTCATTCAATTTCAAAGCTTTAGTGCATTTAACAGTTTTTTTTTGTGCATGGTTTGTTTGCACTCGATCTGGAGCTGACATATAGCGAGTCCTTTTTATACATTAAATGGGCTCTTGCTTTTTTAAAAACCGGCGGTTAGTAAGCATAGTATCACAATTTAGCATTTGTTGATTAAATTACCCAACACATAAATCAAGATGTTTGGTATGTCAGATGACTCCATGATTTGAAAACTATACTAGGCCATAATAGGCTATAATAGGCTATAATATAATACAATATAATATAATATAATATCATATCATATCATATCATATCATATCATATCATATCATATACAGGTAAAAATGAACTGATAAAATATATGCATAGATTGAATGCAACGTTAGTCGTTTTTGATGATGCCTGCCAAATGCAAAAATGTAAGCAACTCTCCACTAGATGATGCTATAGACCACATTTTATTTTAAACCAATCTTTTGAATGACATCTTTTAATGTGCAGTCATTGATTTGTTTAAATTAAGACACAAGCATTAATTCTGACTTGATACCAAGCACTACTCTAGGCTCTGGACAAGGACTGGTACCGTATCGTTTACACGCCTTATAACGTGGGTTAAATGCAATAACAGCTGCAAATAGAGAATTAGCCAACTTTAAAACTGTGACTATTTTAATGAAACAATTGAATACATATATTTAATGAAAAGTCATTTAATATTATTCTGCTTTCATTATAATTTTATTACAATTCTGCTGCAGATTAAAAACACAGCCAGTCAGTTCCTTGGCAAACTGTCAGCATGACTTCACAAAACTGTCTGCTTTGCACAGAATGTCACTTTACTGAAAGAGGAATAAACTTACTTCCCAAAGATCACAATTTTGAGGCTGCAGTACAGCCACAGATCACTTAGACAAGACAAGTGTAATTGCCAACTTAGATATTATAAAGTCACTGCAGTGTCTGGCTGACCCAGGGTCAGTTAGTGCCTCAGTGTCAGCATTTCCCATGTGATTTCTACAGGAGATAAAACTGATGACAGACCAGGCTCAACACAAAATCTGTCAGTCACCACTCATCATCCAAGACACACAGATTCCTGTTCATATCTGAATGAAGGAAACAAGGACAGGCATCATTCTCCATCAGGCCAATGTGTGCTTTTTTGTGCTTTCAAGCTTGTAGGCCAAGGACAGGGGTCCATGCTCCATCTGTACAGAGAGATGGAGCATGGACCCCTATTACTTATATAAGTGACGTGACATGTGGCCAAGTATGGTGACCCCATACTCGGAATTAGTGCTCTGCATTTACCCATCCAAAGTGCACACACACACACCGTGAACACACACCCGGAGCAGTGGGCAGCCATTTATGCTGCGGCGCCCGGGGAGCAGTTGGGGGTTCGGTGCCTTGCTGATTGTTGGATTTTAAGACTGGCCTGACATAAAAATGTGTATGGTAGCTACCATTTAATTACATACTTTGTTATGATTTTTACATTGCAAAGCCACTAAAATAATCACTGTCATCTGGATTGCATTATCACATTGATAGACAGAGACATGTGACATTTTAATTTTACTTAGTATCATAGACTACTTTAATGTTTTTAATCTAAAAAAGGGACAATTAAACTATAAACTAAACTTTAGCATTGGTTGAAGCTAATTTATTATTGTTTCAATGTTTAAAGCAACTGTCTGCCCCCTATCCACCTTTTTCTTCAACGCGGAAGACTTCCGGTTCATTAACCGCTATAAGGAAATAACGAGAAGAATAACAACGTGCAGTAAACGGTAAATCTGTTTGCACTACACACCAGTGTGTTCACAATTAAGATAATACATAAAAATAATATGGTAAGAGACACCAATTTTCAATATCAAGCAGCAAAAGGAACTGTTTTGTACAGCTTAAAATAGCTGGATGCGGATTAGACCGGAAGCCAGACCCATAGAATTTACAAATGTTGATAGATGGCAGTGCAGTGTCTAAAAGCATAGTGGAACTAATTTAGGCCTCTCTTTATAATAGGATTACAGTGGGTTGAACAAGTCAGACCAAGTTTGGACTCCACTTTGGCCCTTCGACCCATTGGCTCCACCTTGGCTCCTGGCTCCCTCGTCTCCACCGTGGCCCATCAGCCCACCAGCTCCACCGGGCTCCCTCATCCCTCCGGCTCTGCCTTGGTCGGTCGCCCACCTGCCTATGCTTCGGGACTACATTCCTCCGGCTTCGCCTCGTCCCTTCATCCCTCTGGCTCCGTTGGATTCCTCCCTCCCCTCGGCTCCACCTTGGTCCTCTGTCGATCCGGCTTCACCATGGTCTTCCGGATCCTCGCCTGCGCCTCAGTTGCCTGAGCCGTCAGCTCCGCCATGGCTCTCCGGATCCTCAGTGTCGCCTTGGCTCTGCAGCGCTCCGTCTCTGCCCTGGGCTCCTCTTCCACCGGCTCCATCTCTGTCAGTCGGGTTCCTAGTGGCGACAGCCCTTCTTCCACCATGGCTCCTCCCTTCATTGACTCCACCGTGGGCCTCCATCATGGCTGCGATCTGGACTCCGCCCTGGTGGTCTTCCGCTCCACCCTGTCTCCCTCCTCCGCCGGTTCCCCTCTGGCACCCTGCTCCATCGGCTCTGCCTCAGTCCCCTGTTCCTCCACTTCCTCATGGACCCGGACCTCCATCCCTCCCCCTATTCCGCCTTCACTCCACCTCTCTCCTGGACTCATTTTTGTTCTCGTTTGGGAGCGTCTGGAAGCCGCTCCTTAAGGGGGGGGGGGGGGGGGGGCTGCTGCGTAGATTCCGAGAGCGGGGCCGAATAAACTTACTTCCCAAAGATCACAATTTTGAGGCTGCAGTACAGCCACAGATCACTTAGACAAGACAAGTGTAATTGCCAACTTAGATATTATAAAGTCACTGCAGTGTCTGGCTGACCCAGGGTCAGTTAGTGCCTCAGTGTCAGCATTTCCCATGTGATTTCTACAGGAGATAAAACTGATGACAGACCAGGCTCAACACAAAATCTGTCAGTCACCACTCATCATCCAAGACACACAGATTCCTGTTCATATCTGAATGAAGGAAACAAGGACAGGCATCATTCTCCATCAGGCCAATGTGTGCTTTTTTGTGCTTTCAAGCTTGTAGGCCAAGGACAGGGGTCCATGCTCCATCTGTACAGAGAGATGGAGCATGGACCCCTATTACTTATATAAGTGACGTGACATGTGGCCAAGTATGGTGACCCCATACTCGGAATTAGTGCTCTGCATTTACCCATCCAAAGTGCACACACACACACCGTGAACACACACCCGGAGCAGTGGGCAGCCATTTATGCTGCGGCGCCCGGGGAGCAGTTGGGGGTTCGGTGCCTTGCTGATTGTTGGATTTTAAGACTGGCCTGACATAAAAATGTGTATGGTAGCTACCATTTAATTACATACTTTGTTATGATTTTTACATTGCAAAGCCACTAAAATAATCACTGTCATCTGGATTGCATTATCACATTGATAGACAGAGACATGTGACATTTTAATTTTACTTAGTATCATAGACTACTTTAATGTTTTTAATCTAAAAAAGGGACAATTAAACTATAAACTAAACTTTAGCATTGGTTGAAGCTAATTTATTATTGTTTCAATGTTTAAAGC